GAAGAAGAAGCAGCAGCAGCAGAAGCAGAAGCAGAAGCAGAAGCAGCAGCAGCAGAAACAGCGGCGGGCTCCAGGTCCTTGCTCTGACCCACCCCCTGGACTAAGTGATTGGCTACCTTCCCTCCCTCTTTCTCTCCCTTCGACTTGCTGACATCTTCCCCAAAGAAGGGGAATCGGGAAGCGCTAGGACCGAGCATGCTCGCAGAGACCGCTGGAATCTCTTCTGTGCAGAGTGGTTGCTGCCGCCGCTGCCGCTGCCATTTCTCCTCGCGTTCCCCGCTTAGAGAGAGAGAGAGAGAGAGAGAGAAAAGGAGGGGAGAGGGAGGTTACCGAGGCTGACTGAACTCAAGCGCTGGACTGCCAAGGACTCCCACTGCCCGCCGCTGTTTCTGCTGCTGCTGTTCCTGCTCTGGACAAGTGTGGAAAGCAGAGCGAGGAGGGCGGGGGGGAAGGAAGGAGGAGAAAGGCAGAGGGGAACTCAAGCTTGAAGGAGAGAGGGAAGCCCCGAGAAAGAAGGGAAGAATCCGCTCTTCTCCTTCTCCATGGCTGAAGGAAAGAGGCTGAAGCCGAGGAAAGTGTGAGGCGCGCTGGGGAGGGAGACCGATTCGTAACTTTCCGACGCCTCGAACCCGTTTGAGAAGCTGGGAGGAAGAAATCTGCCTCCTTCCATGCTCCGGTCACTTCAGCGCTTCGGGAGATTCAATGCGCTGATTCCGGACGCTTTCTGGCTTTCCTTCTTGAGGTAACTTTTGGGAAGTCTCGCCGCTGCCGCCGTTGGTAGAAACGCCCGGAGGAGAACGGGGAGAGCCTTGGAAGAAGTCCTGAAGGAGAAGAAAAGAAGGGAGAAAGTTTCGCCTAAAAAAACCCGCCGGAGATTTCTCTCTCTCTCTCTCTCCTTTCTTCCCCTCCAGCTGCCTGTGTTAGTGGAGAGGGTAGATAAAGCGCCGAGAAGATGATCTGGAAGGGCAACTGCTGCTGCGGAGGTGTCCGAAGCGGAGGAGATTTTCTCTGCCTGCTCCTTCTCTTGATGGGTTTCTTATTGCCCGCCTGCAGGACTCGCTTGTACACCAACCACTGGGCTGTGAGGATAAGTGGCGGGCTCCAAGAAGCCAACCGGATAGCGAGCAAGTACGGCTACATCAATATAGGACAGGTAACCTCCTCGGGCGGAAGGCCACGCGCTTTCGCCCTGCAGCCAGCGCGGGCGAGGGGCGCGCGGGCGGGCGAGCGGCTGCAAAGTGCTGGCGCTGCGGCAGGCGCGGGAAAGGGAGGCGGTGGGCGCCCTTCTCTTCCCCTCTCCCTCTCTCTCCCTCCCTCTCCCCCCCTCTCTCTGTCTCTCTCTCTCTCCCTCCCTTCCCTGTCATCTCCCGCGGGCAGACGCGGAGCTTATGGAAGCAGGCGGCGCGAAGGGCAGGTAGTAAACTGCCTGGGTCACGTCCTCCTCGAGTTCCTGGCTCTCCCAGCCGAGAACTGAGCTTGCTGACGAGGTCGGACGGCTAGGACTTGGGAAGAGGGAGAGCAGCCGAAAAGCAGCCGGGCAACCGAGAGAGCGGTTGCAACGAAAGGCAGCGCACGTCCTGGGACGATGACATAGTTTTGATGCTTCCGAGCCCGCAGGGAGAGTGGCGGGAAGAGGGGGGGGAAATTGCTCGGCCTCCGCTTAAGGAGCTTTCAGGCAGCCGAGCAAGAACCTGTTGGGGGTTGCTGACGAGACCCGAACCGGGGGAGGGGAGGGGAGGGAAAGACATATTTTTAGGCAAGCGGAGGCTTGCAGGAAAGTGAAAGGGAGACGTTTCCAAACTTCCCGGGTTTTTTGGGGGGGAGCCGAAAAGGCGCACACCCCTGCTACTTTGAGTTTCTTTCAGCAAGCAAACTACCTGACGCTGTTGTTGACTTGGAAGCCCCGTGGCTGTGGCGAACCTCCTTTGTGCATGTTCAAAAACACTCATTATATCCTAATTGCTAGGTTTAGATGAGTCTGCTTGAGCTCAGTCTCCATTTGAGAATTTCTAGGATTCCTAGCAACCCCCTCTTTTTTCTCCCCTTTTGCTTCGTTAAACATATATGTATGCTATGAACTTTTTCCCCCCTTGCTTTTTGCCTAATGCACTTGATCAAGGTAGCATTAGGATTTGCAGATACTTTTTGGGCTGGAGATGTATAAATGGGAAAGATGGCATATTTTGTGGAGTTTCCTTGATTGCAAAAGATGACCAGATGGATTTCCTTGTGCTTAGAAACCTTGGCCCCCTCCTTGCTGGAGGAATTTAGTGTATTGCACTTATTTTGGTATTTGTGTGTCTCCCCCCCCCCCCTTATAATTGTGGCATAGTCATCAAGAAGATAAAAGATTTGGAAAACTAACTGCGTTTAATAAACAACAGGTTAAGTTTACTGTCTGTCTCAGATATCCCCCAATCTCAGATCCTTGTCATGAATTGGAATAAAATGCCCATCATCCCCAGCCATATTGACTTGGCTCCTCCCCATGTCTTGAACGCTTCCCTTATTCTTTCCACAGTGAACTTTGAGCCCAGCAAATGGAAACCAAGTTTTCAAACAAGCAGATGGAGTGTGTCCCTCCTCATGGAAGGGCCAAGATTTTGCCTGAGCCTTTGCCAGCATAATAGAGAAAGGGAGGAGAGAGGGATTAATTTGTAACACAGCTCATCAGGGCCAAGAGAAGAACATTTTACTGCTGAGGTTGGCCCTTTCTAAAAGGAAGGCAACCTTGAATTTAAGAGGACACTCCTAAAAGAGGTTAATGCTTTCATATACGTTCCCATTTTAAGACTGATATATGGGAGAGGCGACATTAAGGAACTAAACTTCATTTCAGGTAAACAGAGAACATGAAGTAGAAAGGAAAGCAGTGAAAGTAGAAAGTGAAGGCTGATTCAGGTTTTTTTCCCCTTGGAGGAGACATGGGAACCCCAACATTGCTCTTCCAAAGGTGCTTTTCCAAAAGGCAATTGGACTTTCTTGGTTATTTTTCTTTGAAAATGTTTCACTCCTCATCCAAGAAACTTCTTCAGTTCAGTTTGCTTCTTGAATGATAAGCAAACTGTGTTCAAAGAAAAAAAAAACCAAGGAAGTCCAATTGCTTTTTGGAAAAGCAGCTTTGGGACAACCACCTCCTGGATGATTGAGAATCTCCATCGACACCTAACTTTGCTCTCTTGCTAGAGTTGATGCAGAACCTTTGGGAAGCTGACAGGTTTAATCCATCATTCTTTCCTTTCATAAATGGCAAAATAGGAACTTATCTGACAGAAAGGTAAGCAGAAGAAAAAGAGAAATTGTAAAGTTCATGAGAACAAAAATAGTTCTTACTGCATCAAATAAAATTCTTCATCAGTCTAATATTTTGAGTCCTGATGTGTCCAATTAGAAACATCAAATAAATCATCAAACATAACATCAGTGCCACAGACCCCTAATGTTTAGAAATATTTTTTTTTAAAAACTGGAGACAATACTCATAATAACTAATGGTTATTGATAGCTTTTTAGTTGCCTATTTTTGTTACAACAAACTTTCTTATGCCAATTGTTAATGTTAACTTATTAACTTCTCCTGAACAGAAGTTCAGCGAATTGGGGAAATACGTTCTGCTAAAGAACATGTTGAAATTTAAAAAAAATTGTTGAGGTGAAAGGAAAGTAATAGAAAACAAAATGTTCTGAGTTGATAGGAAATGTTTTGAACTATATTTATTAGTGAATAAGCATAAGTGTTTTGGAAAAAGCACTTAGTGGTATTGTACTGTTTTAATTCTATATAAAGGAGTGGATTAAGTCTGTCTAATGCAGGTGTATTTGGGAGATTTAAATTTGGCTTTAGTTCAAATCAGCTAAATAATTTGACACTGATCTGGTCTGAGCTATACTAGCTAGTTTAGAAACACCTGAAGTTGTAGAATCCGCAGATGTCAACACACACACCTGGATTTGTTAGACCCAAAACTACTAAATAAAAAAATTATTAAACTTTCCATGTGCAGATGTATCTTGCATTACTTGCTCAAGCAATTTGAAGAATTTAATGACAGTTCCTATATATACTAGTACTACATATTTTATAACATTTCTAATATTAATAAAATATTTCTAGAAAATATTGTTTTGGACATCTGGATTGCCTTTTGATTGTTTTGTTTTATTGTGATTTGTGCATATACCTCATCTCTGTCTTTTCTAAAGATAAAAATAATTTGCAATACTTGTTAAGAATTTTTAAAATTAGAAATAATGGTCATGTAAAAAGATTCAGTTATATAATAACTAATATGGACTGAAGTCCAAAGTTATAATGAATGCTCTAGAGTTTAGAACATAATACTTTTTGATGGATAGAAGATTATAGAATTGTTCCACAGCCTATTGTCCCAAGATATCTGTTCTTTGTATTCTGCAGAACAGCAAATACCCTCCCAAGGATATATTTTGACTCATTTACTTTTTGGACAAAATGAGAGCCTAAAACAAGAGCAATTATATTGTTAAGATTTCTCCTTCATAGATAACAAATTCTTCTTAATAATCATTTTTCTGTAGAGCTGTACTCAGAAAGTGCATATCAATTAGCATTGTGTCCATTTAGTACAGGAAATGCTGGGACTTTTTTTTATATACCTAATTGGATACATTAATGTATCATTTACCAACAAAACCTGTAGTATTTTTCTCTCTTGTCAGGGCTATTTATTTTTGGCAAATTAAGGTTGCCTTATAAATTGAAATTTTTCATACTGTTAAAGCATATTGTTTAAAAAAAATAGCATTGTAATAATTTGTTATGTTTATTCTATGGAACCAAGAGCACACAAAAGACCATAACAAATGTAAAGACTGCCATCTTTCTATATGTTGAAAGCTTTCTTTCCACAACCTGTGTTACATTCTTCTGATATTAACGCTTTCTCTCTTTTACGTTTGTAAGCCAATAAGCAAGAAATTGGAATAACACTATATTTCCTACAAATGTTATATATACATTGAATTCCTTTCAAAAAAAGAGGGAGTGAGGCAGGGAGAGAGAGAGAGAGAGAGAGANCTTCTTCTTCTTCTTCTTCTTCTTCTTCTTCTTCTTCTTCTTCTTCTTCTTCTGCTTCTGCTGCTTCTGCTTCTGCTTCTTGTTCCATATCCGTATCAGACATTAGTGATCATGTCGGCAATCATATTTTTGTCAACAGGCACACGAAAAAGTGCTGCTGAGCTTTGTCGAAACCAGTCCCTTAGGTTTTGAAGTCATGATGTTCTTCTTCTTCCTGGACCACATTTTCCTTCAATTTTTCCCTGGAGCATTAAGTGAAGTATGCCATATTTTTCTGGGTGCAAATGCACTACAACACCACAATGGAAGGAGGGAAACAGGACTAGAGCTTGGCCTCATATAACTCTTAAGACATATGGATTTGGAATCCAGTTGTTGTTAGATTATGTTACATTTTCAAGAACACACTTTTCTGAAAGGATCAGGTTTACAGGTTAGATTATTCCAATACATATTCCAATACATAAATATTCCTTATTTATTTCTGAGCTCTGATAGCAATTCAAAAGAGAACCCTCTTTTCAATTGCTATCAGGGCTCAGAAATAAATAAGGATCATGACTCATTAAAAGTGGAATAGGAATTCCAGCCCATAAGAAAAATTAAAAGTTTGGGGGGGGGGTCCCCAAAAACCAGCAGTAGCAACCCAATTCTATATCATTATCCCCAAAACTGCACACACAACTTCACATAATCAACAGGACAGCATTCAGGCAAAGGAGCATCTTTATTTTTTTAATACATCTACATACAACTTCTCCAAAATAATGTTTGTGCAGAGTATGATTGCCTGTTATGATGCCACTATCAATTCCTTGATGTATTTTTATAAAATATGTAAAATCAAGCTGGGCTTTGATCACATTATTGCAACTGCCATCTTGGTCTTTTTGACATGGTTGGCAGTCGAACATTATTCTTTTAATTATGAATTGCATTCTATTTTCTATTTTGTAAGTACATTTGTAGATGCAACAATGACAATAGTAATAATATAATCCCCATCACCTAAAGACTATCTGCTTCCTGTTTTAGACAGTAGTCTCTAGAAAGTGATCTCTGGTTTCTTAAACCTTCATCATTTTGAGTATACATTT